GGTTATAGTTGATGTAGCTAGAGTATGTTGTCTAGGAGGTCATGGTTATAGTTGATGTAGCTAGAGTATGTTGTCTAGGAGGTCATGGTTATAGTCGATGTAGCTAGAGTATGTTGTCTGGGAGGTCATGGTTATATAGTTGGTGTAGCTAGAGTATGTATGATACTCATAGAGTATGATAGTAAAAAATTAAAATAAATCACTAATTTACATATAGAATTTTTCTTTTATTTGTTCCTAGGCATTTGACCCAGATAGTGAGTTTCAATTCAAAAACAGAACAAGGCCATGGGACAAAGTTTATTTTGAAGACGTATTTGGTATAGACAAGTGCTATGCTATTAGCCCCCAAAACTCATATTATTCTACTGATAAGGTGAAAATGATACTACAGTAATAAAAAATCTATTTATATAAGTGATGCTAATACTACTGTATATATATAGAAAGACAAACACTGAAGGGAAAACCAAACATTCACACAAGTTCATAGCATAGACAAAACATAAATGTTTTCAAGACATTGTGCTTCAAACCGAAAAAAAACCTCATATATAATTCTTAGATGTCTATTCAAAATTCAATAACAAACAAAATGTTGGATTGATTACAGACACAAAACCATAGATATTACAACATTCATGGATAATTTCTGGAACTACGCATTCCAGAGTTATCCAGATTTGATGTGATGGATGTTGCAACATTAACCAATGGCAATTTAGCATCCAAATACTGTATGTTTAAAGGCAAAAACCAAGGAACTTTAGAACCTCCTTTCCCTTGTATCCCCATTTTCCCTCTTCAACTTCTCCACATCACCCACCCTATTCCTCATCCCTTTTGGGCTACTACCGAGGCTAGCATTAACAAATAGTTGTGTTTTATTTCAAGATTTAAGTAAGATCACTATCACAAAGTGATCTAGATAATTCAAACAATAGGATATTTATACAGTTACAAATTAAAGCAAATACAGAAAGGATAGTAGCACTTTTATTTATAATTTTTTTCATTTTAGGATCCATATGGATGGCTAGTAAACATCATTAACAGAGTAAGTAATCTAGGTATACTGTAATCCCAACACAAATAATGTTTAGGTAGCATTTAGAATGGTCTTGTATACATTTATTTCACTTTTATGTATTTTTGATAATTTACAATGACTAGGCATAAAGCCAAGTTCTACTTTGTTACCTAACACTTTGATAATGCCCTATGAGTCACGTAACATTAACAGGGTGGTTATTTTTTGGGGCTCTATCTTTGTTTATTCTATAAGTAGGTAACATGTGCATTTACAACCCATAGTATTAACTAAGGTAATTTATATCATTGCAATAGATATAATTCAATCTTGCATGTAATTGAAATATATAGTTTTACATTGTAAATATTACATTGTTAAATATAAGTAATATTAGTCATAGAGGATAAATGCTAAAAGTGTACAATCTAAATAGTACTAACTACTGCTTAATTTAATAGTGCTATTAAATGCTAAATACTGTAGTATAAAGTATACTAATGCTTGTAATTTCTGTAATATATACAGTATGAGTAGCCGTGTTGTATCAGATATAGTTTGCATATAGTTTGTATATCGGATACAACACGGACATGAAAAATGTAGTTTGCTTGTCAAATGTCTAGGTTAGTTCCTTTGTGTTTCACTAAAACTTTCAAAATTAAAGTGAATCTGGCCAAGAAAATCCAACCTAAAGTTTATGCAAATGAACACAATTTTGTATCAGATTTACAACACTCTTCACAGTCATGATTTCTGTTGTGTTTTCCTCATGAATTATTAATGAGTTTGACAAAGAGTGTATACCATAAGTCTGTGGGAACATTCAGTTGCAAATTTGTACAAATTAGTAAAAAGGTTTGTAGTCTATGATCTATTTACCTTACTAGTTTGTGCAATTTCTTACAAAAGTTTTTCAGTTATATAAGGTGTGCACTCTATAACCTTTTTCTTATATTTTTTATGTGTGTATCAGGGCTCCTATTGATATTAGAGGAATACAGCCACTGACTGCAGTATTCTGGGTCTTCCCCTTTACTTAATTGAAGGCGTTTATCTATAGTTATAACCTAACCCTAACTAAATTATTTGTCCAGTTTGCTGAAAAAGGTGGTTTTGAGGAAATACGCAAACTTATAGAATCAGAAGAGAGTGTCACAGCACCTGTAAGTAAATATGGCATACCCTACATATGGCAAGATTAATATGATGTTAATTTACACATTCAACATAATCCCTCAGTTGACTCTTCTAATAGGTAAAATATGAGTAACAGCACCCCAGATGCCCTGTTGTTGAATGTAGATGGTGGTTCCACTGAATTCCAGTGATTCCACTATCACCACTTTTTGGACCATTGTGTAGCCAAAAAGAAAAAAATATAGAGAGATATTACCTTAGGATTGACTTCTGTTAGGTGATTGATGGTTCAACTACCTTGTTCATGCCTGTAACACAAAGCTTACAATGAAAATGTTTGTTGTAACATACATGTATGGTATTGTAACTCTTGCTAAGTTACAGATACAATATGATTTTATGATGGTTTTCTGATTGGCTTACGATTGGGGAGTTTGTAATCCAGGCGTGATCTCTTAAAGAGAGAAGGGATGTCTGAAATCTGTTGTATTAAAAAAATCTTTAATAGAGTTCATTTCAATTGAACAACATTCTTAATGCAACAATCGTAATCAAGCCTTGACAGAAATGCAAATTTGCTACTGGGGTGTAGGCTTGTAATTAGCGGGACAGGGTGGTGGGAGGGTGGCTTATTACTGGGATTCCGTGGTACTCTATACTGTAAATATCTTTGCCTACTCTTACTACTCTTAACTTTTTTCTACTTGTCAAGGCCATGATATGGCCAGTCAAGGCTGTCCAATGGTGGACATCTAAGTCAACTGACTAACATGTTGTTATTAGTGCATTGTTTCATGCTCACCATTAAGAGAGCAATCTAACAGTTGACAAACAACCACAAATTAATGGTAAACGAAGGGCTGTGTAGACAAATGTCGGACGCTCAGTATTAATTTTGTAAATAAATAAAATAAATTTAATTTATTACCATATATTCAATATGTTGTTTTAGATGTTGGCATCATTATTAAAACCTCTTGGTGTATGTGCTTCCTACTTGAATGTTCAAGTCATTTCTGTAAGTTTTATTTTGATTGAAGTTATTTTGTTGAATTATGAGGTTGATTAGTATCAGTCATGGTAGATGGTTTATTCACATGAGATAAGTGTAGACCCAAGCCTACATATACAGTACATCTAGTTGTTAAATATCTTAACTATATTAGTATCTTCAAGAACTGAATTGACACATAACTTATTAAAGAAAAAGATAATGTTCTTAACATCTCACAAGCTGATTTATCATTGAAATATTTAAATAGGTTGTGTTCAGCAATGTTTTTGAAAAAAACATAGCATATATACAAGAACTTAGTGATGAAGATATGAAGCAAAAGGTAAGTGCTGATGATATTCTGTATTCTGCTGATTTATGGGAATAAGTCAGAATGTATTAATATTTTCCCTTCTTGTCTTATTAGGAAGTAGGAAAAGTGTTTGACTTGCTTACAACTCTTAAGTTATTGGGAATGAGACTTTGGCATAAAGAAGTACCAGGAGTTGATGAATTAAGACTTGAAGTAGCACTAAAAATGCTAAAAACACCTCACTTTAATGCCAAAATGAATTCATTGAAAGAGGTAAGTGGAATAATAAATCTCTCTCTTTTATTTATTAATTAAAATTCACTTCTGTTAAAAATACTAAAACAATTATTTGCCTCAATCTCAGTGAATATCAGGAATATTTACCTTGCCACTCGAAGATTTGCTTCTTGGTAAATATTCCCCAAAATTCACTTTGCCTTCCTTGAATAATTGTAAATTATTACAATTATTAATTCTTTCTAGAAATATATCGTTGCAAATCCTAAACTGTATTCTTGTCCTTTTGATTTATCAAGGTTTGTAAGCTTATTGATGATTGTGAAAGGCATAAATCCAGTAAAGTGAGCATTCCACAAGAAACACTATTTGATTGGTTGCTGGAAAACAAGGTTCTTTCTGTTGCCTTTGAAAGTAAGTTATTTGGTTGCGATATAATGAAAAGGCTTGCATAATCATGCTTAAAGTAGCTGTTACCTTGCTAATACTCATTTACCCTGTGCTTTGCATATTTTCCCAGGTAATCTACACCAGTCTCAGTATTGTGATAGATTGAAGGTTCTTGTTGAATTCCTTGGCACTAGACTATCATTGGATGAACTGACAATTATTTGGAAAATGCAGGTTAGTGTCAATCTCTACTAAACTGACACTAATACTTTCTTAAGAGTTCAAAGCTAATACCAGGTCAAGTCAGTTAGTGACTCAACAAGATTGCTTAGATCTTATTAACCAAGCGGGAGGTCTGTACGGGATAATCTTGACCGAGGTCTATACCCGACCRAGGTCAAGATTATCCCGGGCAGACCGACCAAGCTCAGTTGATAAGAGTTTTATTATATGACCACTTTTCATTGAAAAGGACAAAATGTTTTCGCCGTAAGATTAATATGCGATCGGACTGGTTAATACCGGATAATCTAGACCAGTCCCCGATGCGATCTATCCAATCAGATTTCTCTATTTGCTAGTGTCCAGGCTCTAAGATTCATGGTCATAAAATAAAATAGAATTATAAACCAGTACAACTCTATATCTATTTAGCATATTTAACTTATGTACTTCCTAAGAACGTGCACGCTCATTGGTTAATTGGAGGTGAGTATTGTATTCATTGACATTCACCTCTGAATCTCAGAATATTAAGTCGGCAACAAAATGGCATCTGTCAGCAATTGTTTTGCTACAATTTCCAATGAGAAAGTTGAAAAAATGAAAGTAAATGCCATTCCTATCAATGCTAAAAAGGCAACAAAGTATGGCCTAAACGTTTTGCTAAAAGTTTTGCTAAAAGTTTTGCTAAAAGTTTTGCGTGAATTTTTCACGCAAACTAAAAGTTTCTGTTTGTTTGTTTTTATTGAATTATTGTATATAAAAATAAGTTACTCTGTACACAAGTTGGTATATGCTAAAACAATTATTTGCCTCAGGCTCAGTGAATATCAAGGAATATTTACCTTGTTTCTTGTGTCTCGTGTCTCCCCGATATTCACTTTGCCTTCGGTGAATAATTGCAAAATATTCCTTTGAGATTTAGTTTGTTTTTACCATTTTATTCCTGGAGGTTTTGGGGGGAAAATTGTTTGTTTTGATTATGTACCTCTGGTCTAGCACATGTAACCAAGTAATGGATCAAATACAGTTGGGAGACAGGAAAGATGCATGATCTCAAATGGAAAAACATTATTTCCAAGTAGAATTGGTCCTTTAGTGACAATCATCCAATTGCAAAATGTCAAAAGAGTCCTGATAATAAAACTTATTAAACCTAATGGTCATTTTTTTTTTTTTTTTTTTTTTTTTTCTTTTTTTTTTTTTTTTTTTGCAAGCACCCAACAGAAGTAGACAATATTCATAACATATTAGCTACTGCTGCTGTTAGATTTAACACCAATCAGTTGGATCATTTGTTCATACTTATTCAACAGGTAATAAGATGTCATTAACCAATAGTTTTAACCTAAATTCCATTTCAATCATTTGATGTGGGAAAAGGTTTGTTAGCCACTGGCTATTAAGTGTAGTTTTACATAAAAGTTTAAATAAAAGTGTTCATTCATTCATTCATTCATACATATTGTAAAAGTATTTGACTTTTTAGGCTTGTAAATACATTTTCATGTTATTTACATGGCTGGCTGACACAGTCGTTTGGATCTTACAATGGCTGCATACTATAGAAAATTGAAACTACTGGGCATGCTCTGACTTAGCTGGCCCTGACTTTGACCAGTCCAGAAGTTGTTTCAGGAAAGCAATAGAATTTGAAAATTAATAAAATATCACACATTCAATTCATTTCACATAACTAAATGAAAAATAACTAATCATTTTTTTTTTTCTGGAATGTTAGAGTTGGGGAACTGAAAGTGACAAAATGAAGGAGAAGCTACTAGGACTCATTGGACGCATTGGCAAGGAAGCTCGAGTTGGGAAGATAACAACAAAAGTGCTAGATTTGTTGTGGAGTTTAGCTCACCTTCCTTCTCTGACAATGGATATGGTTGAGCAGGCTCTAAAATCTCACATTGACATACTGAGTGACTCATTTACTGTCAAAGAACAGATCAAAAAGAATTATGCTGTTAAATGTATCGAAGATATCAAGAAAGGAGTGTGGGTAGTACCTGCTATTAGACAATTGCTCAAGATTACAAGGGGAATGATCAAACAACAGTACAATAAGCATGACAAGGTACATTATTTTGTAAAATGATGATGATAATTAATAATAATCATTGACATTACTTGCCTTAATTTGACAGGGCATTCTTCCAGAGCTCAACAAAACATATGATTTGGTCAAGCTTACTACAAATAGCTTAGTACACTGCCATCAGTTGTCTGTATCTACTGCAGTACCGTCAAGAGTAGATGAAGATACTCTCCTTGATGGACGCTATACGCACTATGATTCACTCTACATTCATCTTAAATTTTTGGGGTTTGTGCTACAAGAGGCTGATCTGTACCTGCCATGGAGTAGAGCAAAAGACTTGTGGGATGTATTAGTATCTAGCCCTGATTGCTGCGAATTTGATAAAGAGGTAGATGACRGTATATTATTTGCTGTTGATTCTTTACATAAAAACTTGTTGACAAGCAGACACATACCAATATTATCATCATGATGATTCCCATCTTTGGAAGTATGCATAAGAATTGGAATTGAGGGCTTGTTTTAAGCACAAATCTTAAAAGTAAGAAGAAGTTGAAGGAATATAAGGACCTTTTTTTAAGCTTACTAAAATTCTATGCTTATTACCCTCTGTTTGTCACATACATCTATTTCTAAAAATGTTGTGTCATTCCAAGTTGGAAAGAAATTACATAGTTATTACATATAGTAAATTAAAAAAATAAAGGGTTGATCAAGGGAGCATGCTGGATATCTTCACATTTAACTTCATGTTCTTGATGTAAATAATAAGAATCCCAAGTTATTTCATCTATTATTGGATCTTGGAATGACCTTTCTACTGTCACCTATTGCCTGTTGCCTTTAACTGCAGCTACAACCTTTTTAGTAGGTAAAAGTTTACATTATGTAAACATCATCAGGGTGGAAGGCTTTATTTTACCATATAATTTATGGGCTTATGCAGTTATCAGGCAGATAGTAAGATGAGATCTACTCTTTCTTTCTTTCCCTCTTCCTCTCTCTCACTCTCTTTCTTCCCATCTCTCTTTCTCTTTCTTAATGCAAATAATTACTAGATGCAGAATAGTATTTGTTTACTTTATTATTTTATTATTTTATTTTTATCATTTTACTCAATAGAAATCTTTATTTTAATCTATCATTCTAGACTGCCTTTGAATGGTTTACTAAAGGACTCTGTGACTTAGAGCCTGACACCCAATCACAGATTTTCAATAGTAAAGTTCTAAAACTTGATCCAAGTAAACTTACAATGAAAGGTAAATATTAATTACCACGATTCATAGTAATTTTAGTTAGATTAGGTAACTCTGGCTTATTGTTTCTAAACGAATTGCACCAATCTCAAAGGTCTATGCGATTTGTCTGGTAAAATAAGCCTGAGTCAACTAATCTGATTGAATTATAACAATATAAAGTACACATTAAAAGCGTGGGTGTTAATTTAATAACAGAAAAATAATTAATAAGTAATATAATATGTTACATAGGGGCACCRCAACATTTAAACTTGAATAAATAAAGAAGTAAATACTTAAGATATATTAATGATTATGGTATAGACGGTAACCGAACATGACACCCCCAGTATAAACCATGACACCACCAGCCATGACGCCACCATGTAAACCATGATGCCCCCAGTCTGTACTACCATGATGCCCCCAGTCCGTACTACCATGAAGCCCCCAGTATAAACCATGACGCCCCCAGCCATGATGCCCCCACATAAGCCATGACGCCCCAGTCTGAACTACCATGACACCCTCAGTCTGTACTACTATGACACTCTCAGTACAGACAACTAATAATTATGATTATATTAAATGATTATGGCATAGACAACTAATAATTATGATATATTAATGAATTAGGAATACTATTAAATAATTAAACAACACTGTCCAGGAATGCGTGTACCTTTCTCTAATAGAATAGAGTAGAATATTAGAAAGTGAAAGATGAGCATGAATAACCTCATTAATTTTGAGATACGATTGATATGGAAATTTCTTCTTTTTTGACATGGAAACTTAGCTAAAAGTTACCTACTGAGTTTCTTAATGATTTGTTAATGATATTTAGGGTGCCTTCAATAAACATGAAAATCCATGCAACGCTTGGGTAATTGGAGGGAGTCAACGAGCTGAGATAATCTATATTTATATTAAGTATCTCAATATGTATCTCTTGGATGGAATAATGATTAAATGATTGATTGATTGATAACCCCTAATTTCATTATAGTACATTCTGCATATGCCTCTCTTATGAACTAATATTTTGGTTATATGATTTTTAAAGGATTTCTGTGCTTTAAAGCTTTCTCTGAGAGTGTTAACCTGAATGAGCACCGTTTAAAGAAAACTTCGAACACTTACACAGTTGAGAAAATGGAGTTATTAGGGTTGGACTACTTGTGGCAAATTGTACTTGAAGTGCCATCTGAAGAAATTGCAGTGTTGGCTATAGAATTGCTCCTTAAACTAAGCTACACTTGGCTATCTCCAAAACTCAAAAAGGTAAAGGAAAATTGAACAATAAATTATTAAAGAATTATGTTTTTTCTGAATAGTCATTCTAGCATTTTCACAATAATTGAGGACACAACACAATCATCTCATGTTGGTTTTTATGGGTGGAGGAATTTGAAACCAGAGAATGCTACATATTTTCAAAATAACATTTTAATTTTTGAAAGAAGGTTTCAAAGGTTTTTATTTTTCCACACACAAAAAGCAAAGAATTACAAATAGAACTTAAGAAAGAAGTGGAAAGGTGCAGGAGGGAACAACCCAAAAGGGGTTAACTAAGAAAGATCCTGCACCCTGCACCTGCACCATTGGAACAATGTCTGACTCAGAAAAATCTGAGCCCCAGACGGGAATCAAACCCAGTCAGACGTTGTTCCAATCTTCTTTCATATGTTATTCTATTCTATTCCTTTCAAACATTTTAATTATTATTTTTATTCACAACTATTATGATTTCGTTGTGAAATATGATAGTCCGCATGAGTGTAGTCACCCTGATAATCACATTTTGCGACAAACTTCAACACCTTCGACACTTCAACCATTTACTTTTATTATAATTTCCTCTGAATAAATGATAATCTGATTGGTTAACAGACTTTAATCATACTCTGAAGATTTAACTAATAAAATTTGAACTCCTGCTACATGATTATCCATTTTTGTTAATCCCTCATATGATTACAGACTGAATTGGACTCACCTCAATCAGTTGCATTGCCATTATTAATCAATAGTTTTTAACTTTTTTCACTCTACTGATTTAGGATTCTTTGCATATTCACAAGAAATTCATTTTAGAATGTTACAAGCGTCTTGAGGTATTTTGACTTGTTAAAACATCTTTGTTTATTCAGGTTTAATGTGCCCTCCAGGGGTGGACCCAGGGGGTGCCCTGCAGTGCACCGGACAACCCACTAATACAGTAATACCAGACTAATACAGTTATTACTCTTAGCTTTTTTTTAAGCAAAAGAAACATTTACAGCTATGCATATATTATCTCAACTATTTACATTTCAACATTTGGGACACCCCCATAACAAATTCCTGGATCCGCCTCTACCCTAAATGTTTTAAAATACAAAGATAACGAACTATAGTTTGTAACTAAATGATGTTCATTTTATCTTTTCTAGTACATCATGTCTTTACTTGGTCATCACACAATGACTCAGGCAGCATCTAGTGTTACCATGGCAGCAACAGCACCTATCACACATGATGTAGTCATTTCTCCTTCTCTTCTTCGGTATGTAAATTTTTTACTTACTAGGTGATTATGTGGATTGTAGTTAATATGTAATATATACAGTATGAGTGGCCTTGTTGTATCAGATATACAACCACGAGGCGTAGCCGAGTGATTGTATATCTGATACAACACGGACATGAATACAGTATATGACTTATCAAACGTCTAGGTTAGTTCCTTTGTGTTTCACTAAAATTTTCAAAATTAAAGTGAATTTGGCCAAGAAAATCCAACTTAAAGTTTATGCAAATGAACAGAGTTTTGTATCAGATTTACAACACTCTTCACAGTCGTGATTTCTGTTGTGTTTTCCTCATGAATTATTAATGAGTTTGATAAAATTATTTATTATGTAGATATCGATGAAATACCAGGTTTTCTCTAGTGTCAAAAACTTGATATCTTTCACCAGTGGAAGATACCATATCTTTCACACGTAAAGATATCGCTGTTGACATAGTAACATACTTTAATAAAGAATTTTTAAGCTTTTGTTTTATTTAAGTTTCATCGATATCTATATAATAAGCAGAACATTACCTGGCCGCTTGGAAATACGAATTTCATCTTCTATCGAAGATAAAATTCTTATCTTTGCGCGCCCATGTAATATCCTCTATATTATTTCCGTACATTCATGGCTTTCACGTGCATCATCAAAAAACTAAAATCCAAAGTCATCACTCCATAAAACTGTTTGTTGAATATGTTGTTTTCACTGGTGTGAGAAAAGCTTTACCAAAATAATTTTCGTATTATCGATGTTTGGTTTTGGATTATTATGAGTCAAATTCTGACACTCAATTCTGTCACGCATTTTCAACTCATTAAAAATAGAAATAATACGTTGTTAACTCAGTAGATGATTGTTAACTTTATTTTGATGCTCATTGTTATGAAAATATTGAAGCAATTGCAATATAAACATAATTTTCAACTTCCGTGATTTGGCCGCCATCTTTGTGCTCCACAATAGGACAAAGATGGCAGATTCATACATTTCAACTGAATTATAAGAATATAATCAACCGCTTCTCAAACCACTAAATTAGCTTGAACTTTGGCTGAGATATAGTTTTTGTTGCTCTTTTGGTCTAATGGAAGTTGTGTTGTCTTGGGAAAACTTTTGATGGCAGAGGAGGTGAAAGGTAAGAATATTATTTTTTGGATCATTTTAATTATCTAAACTATTTTCTTCTCCTTTGCCTTTAGTACAAACCAGTTACTCAATATTGAAAGACTTCTCATGATTGCAGAACACTACATAATCACTGTGGAGGTGTGAAGTATATTTTTATTTAGTCTAAACCTACTTATGGTATACCACGAATCCTGCACTCAGATTCGCTGAGCTACTTGTGTCCTTTTTTTAAAAAAATGATTGTTTGTATTCATTTTTTTTCTAACCATACTGGTAATTATTAACTCAATTGACTCAAAACTTTCGATTGAAAAAAGGACAATTCTTCGGGTGTCAATGTTAATTAACACCTTATTTAATGAATATACCATCTAGTACATGCAAACTTGTTTTACTGATTTGCTTTGTTTAAAGGATCTTAATGCTGGTCCAAGAACTATTCTTCCACATGGTGCATCATTTCATGGTTACCCAATTACTGTTAATATCAATTGTGATGTTCCTAAACAAAATATGACATTACAGGTACTAATACAGTGCTAGTTTTGTATTATAGCCCAATCATTTTACCAGTTAAAGTGGTCATTTTTTGAACCCCCAGGGGCCTGGAAAAATAAAGCTTTATGAGTAACATTATTCAGCTGTAAAACACAACTAGCAATGTTATAAAGAGTTTATTGCACGACACAAAAACTGAGTAAGAGTGCATGAAAAACAACCATTTTTATTGTAAACAAGCAAACTCGGAAGTCAATAAACCAAACCACTTATGTGAGTCACACAGTGCAATCAAATTGTGACGTGTCATATCTAACATAATGCCAAGATATGATTGGCTAAGAGAGAATCAACGATTTCTATTAAAAATTGTTCAAAACTGGTTTGTAATTGCACTGGAAAAATGGCCATAGTACACAGGAAATTGAGTGTGTTGTATAACAAACCTATTCATCATATAAACACTAGACTCAGTGTTTTACTAAAAAGAGGTCAATTAGTGTAAAGTATATAATTTTTAATTTTGGGATTTCCTTCAGTTGAAATTTAACTGCTAACAATAATTGAGGCTGATGATGAGCAATTTACCCCCTCTCTCCATTAGTGCTGTGTTTTATGAGTCATATTTTGTGGACCTTGCTCAAAGTATATCATTCAGTATTCAGTAAGTTTTTTCATCGTATAATTTACCATTTCATCATTACTGTTTCAAAGTATATCATAGAAGAAACAGGGCTAAAAAAACTAGTTTTTAGTAAAGGGACTAGTCTGACTTTGCTATAGTTACAGGCAAATGACTTCTCATTGCACATAGAAGAGGGACTGGGTGTAATATTTTATACCCAGGACATTGGTAATATTTTTGATATCATGTATTAATGACCTGCAACCTCACAAGATGTGCTGTGTTGCTAATTAGGTTTTAAACATAATTATTGTTTTAGATTTCTTTAATTTGGATGCACAACAAAAACAAAACGTGCTTCACATGTCTGAATGTGATTGTTATTAAAATTATTGATATTTTTGAATTTTGCACTTTTTTATCTTTTTCCTAGTGTCATAGTAATGAATCTCTGCGCTCTGTTCGCCAAAGAATATCCAGTAGGCTGAATGTAAATCCAGAGCAAGTACAAATATTCAACAATGAAAAGTTGGTAAGAGAGCTTAACATTGGTATTAAACACAAAAATAATTTATGTTTAATATTATTTGGATTTGAGATTATACCTGTTAATTCTATGTTTAATTATTCAGCTGATGTTTTCTAAAGACTCAAAGCTTCTTTATCAATTGGAATTTGAGGAAGAGCAGCTTATTTTTGTAAAAACATCAGGAGCTTCTGTTACCATGGTTCCCACAAAGGATGAGGTTGAGGTAAATATCTCTCTTGGCCAGATTGTTCAAAAGATTAAATAGCCCAATCGAAGTTTAAATTTCAGTCTGGAAATAGATTCCGTCATTCAAAGCATGATTAGTGTTAATCTAGGATTAATTCAGTCAGTCAGTACTACCACTACCACTACCACTTATTACTGCAGAAATAGAAAACATGCACTCCTTCTGTGTGCAGTCATAAAGCAGGGGGTTGGCAGAAACCCTGGCAATGACCACCCTCAGTGCCTACACCTCATACTAACCACATCTTGTTCAAAAACTCATTGTGAAGTGCCTTTGAACTTATGCATATGGAAAAGAGCGCTATATAAATAGATATCATTATCATTATTATTATTATTAACACTAGAGAAGTGTTCGGAACAGAATGACACATAGCGTAGTGCTTGTCAACATTTCTTGAGTGTCTGCCAATAACCATGGCAAGCACAGCACAACAATTTTTTTTTCTTTTATGAAAAAGAAAAATTTCAATAACCATTATTTTGGATAGGAATGACGCAACTGAAGGTGTGACACTTGCTGTGTGGTGTCATCAAGCACATGCTTAAGACCAATCAGAATTTGAGATTCATAACAGGCATTTTTATGATATATAATATGAATGGTTTTTTATGTTTCACATTTTTGTCCTAGATGCAAGATATCAAAAGTGACGTGGTAAGATATTGGGTCAATATTTTCTTTTAATTGTAGAGTGCAAACAATATAACCATGAAACCTTAGTAATACTTAATAGCACAATTTCATGCAAATTCCAATGTTTTCTATTGCTTAATTAGCACTGTTTTGTACTATTTAGTAATTAGTGTTTCACGGATTAATTGTTTGCACTCTATCATCACTATAATTCCAYATAAGTAACTATTTTATTATTTTCAAATTATCTTTTCTGTCCAAATTAAAGATTAATTATCGTTTCAATTCGCATTTTTCTTGGGAGAACTCAAATTATTCAATTATTCAGTAATTGGATAGTTTTTATCAGCCAATCAAAACTCAGGAGAAACAATAGAAATTGACTTTGAACCAATCAGCACGTGACTTTTGCTTGCCAGCCGGCCTTGTTTAATTTTTTTTGTCTTGTAATTTTTTTCAAAATGGTGGGGGAAGTTGTAAATTGGGATCTTTTTGAAGACCTTTTTTAGCATAAAAAACGATAATATGGTTTTGACATGGAACTTCAGGAATCAATTAACAGATTCCCCGAAGTATCTGAGGATAGTTTGAATGAAATGTGCGGAAGAAATGAATTTGCTTTCTTTGTGCAGTTATATAGAACATAGGGGTTGACAGAACACAACAGAAGGAGGAGAAGCACGACACATAGTGGAGTGCTTCTCGACACTTCTGGAGTGTTTTGCCATTCCCAAAGTGCTTTATAACTCCACACAGCACACAGCAAGCAAGTTTTTTGTGCATGCGTACTGTGTGCTCTCATGAACCACATGCTCCCAACTAATCAGATATAGAACAGTTATTTTATAATATTTATATTATCAGAGGAGACAGCTTGAAAATGRTTCATTTGAACAAGCTCTGTTTGTGATGTATTTGGTTTTTCTTTCAACAGGCTAGTGCTAGTGGATGTAGCCGCCAGACTTATGCCCTTGAACAAGTAAAGAGTGCAATAATCGAAATATTAAATAACAGTCATCCAACTTTAGCAAACAGATGCTAAAATAATAAGAAGTATAAAATGGTGCATGTGTCTATATGCTATAATAACATAAATATGTAAATATGCTGGAAGCTGTAGAGCAATAGAGGCATTGTAGAGAAAAGTGAAGCATAGCCAAGTTTCTTTGACTTATCAGCTACAGCTCCCAGAATACCACAGTATATAGACATGTACACTATTTTATTTACACACACACCCATCATTCAGTAATTCACTGTCAATCTTATAGTACTTGTCCATTTTTTTGGGCTGGACCTTCAATTATCCTAATTATACACTATTCCACTGTAGGAGCGCATAATGCCTGGTGTAATTATGGCCACAGAATGCAGAGCTTTTAATAAGCTATATCAGTTAGCTGAAATAGAAGAACCCAGGTAAAATTCTCAATGCTACGTGCTCAAATAGTTTTCACTGGCATTAATTAGTATAGCCTCTTATAGATTTTATATTTTGTATTATATTATTATTAGGAAGACCAGGTGGGAAAAAAGCTGAGCTTTACCTGTTACAACCTCATCAGTAAATAAATTGTTGTTGTTGTTGTTGTTATTATTATTATTATTATTATTATTATTATTCATTGATCTCCTTTGACCAAACACATATAATCAAATGATCAATCATCTATAACTTTCAGTATTACCTCTCGTGTGCAAAGACTTATAATGTTGCTACCCACTGATCCTGATGTACAAGAAGCACTGGATTCCATTGGACAACAGGTCCATGATAATTTTATGATTGTGCATTTACTATGTGTAGAGTGTATGCCATATTTCCATGAAGCAATCTATATAAATCGTAAATCTTTATAATTATGTACTGTTTAATAAACGAGTAGGAGTGTTTTATCAGGTATAAAAGCACGAGGCATAGCCTCGTGCTTTTATACCTGATAAAACACGATCTACGATCAACCAGATTCAATAGAAGCTCCCACACGTTGGATATTGCGTGCCAAGGCAAAGACAGGCACGTTAGTCAAAGATCATTAGGGTTGACTATGACCTTGATGAAGCTCTATGTCTTCATCTAAACTTGGATGCATGCTTCATCCCTTATGAAGTCATCCTCATAGTATTTCAGTGGTCTTTATATAAAGATCACGTGTCTTTATATAAAGACACATGTGTCTTTATATAAAATCACTTGAATACTAATGAAGAGAACTTTATCGGGTATAAAGGTTCATGCACGTGACGTGTATGGTGACTCCAATTGGACCATAAGCTTATGAATTATTAATGAGGGTTTTAATATATTTATAAACTTCATCCTTTAGTTAATTATTTCAGGAAGAACTTTCATTTAAACTTCACCTACCACTAAATGATCCCCTTTTAACATTATTATTAGTTCACGCTTAATTGTTCACCTGGCAATTCTTCCATGGATGACTCTAGCAGCTGTGTCAATCCTACTACCACTACCAATCTCAAGAATATGTTTAGATGTACAGCATCAGGAATGTCACCGTTTAGAGTACTTTATAACCTTGAGGTACAATGTTCAATGTTCTCTGTAACTTATTTATCACATAACTGTCAATAATGATTATTTACTTTTTTTCTTAGGTTCTCAGTAGTAAGTTAATGCCTACTCACTGCAGGGATGGTGGAGCAAGTGCAAAGGCTTTCAAAGAAAACTTCTTGGAAGCTTCAGGCCTTGAGTAATCAAAACGTTCTTTCATTTTTGATGGTGTTAGTATTAATCAGTATATAACCATTTTTATTTATTTCTTAGCATGGTGGTTAGTATCCTTCAAAAGGACATGTTTCCTCATGATGTGGATACTGAAATACGACGTGGTTGTTATTCAATATGTTTACAGCTTGCAAGGTAACATTCCATCGAAGTTCAAATAATTTCAATCTATTATTGTAATACATTCTACAAAGCTTGATTCTTATTGGACAAGAGGAGTACAAGTAGATCACAAATTGAACTCTGTAGAGTCCCAATTAAGTTACTCTCTTTTAAAAAGTGTACTACAAACAAAAAATCACATAAACTTCTTGTACAATTCGGAATTTATAAACTCTAAATTGTACTCGAGATCGCTCAATTTCCTATGCTAAGACAAAAAAGGACAAATTACTTCCAAATTTCAAGGTGAAATTTCACACGTAATTGGTAATTTCATATGTAAAAATTCACTGTTTTAATGATTCATGATTTTCGTGGTTTCTTCTTTTGTGTGGTCAGATCAGGTTGTTAGATCTACAATCTACATCAACTTACCAATAAGAGTTGTTTTCAAATCATAGCCTTAACATTCCAATATCTTGCTTCTGATTGACCGAGAGCCTAAATCCAATTCCTGATATGTGAACTTGACTTGTATTATTTGTAGTTTTTTCTCCACATATTACATATTTTATCATGTCAGTTCATTTTTCATATCAAAGTAGAGATTGAAATATGTTTGCTATCAACTTTAAAAGGCCTGTCTAGGAATTTTTCTCAGATGCTGTCTTGCACCTTTGATAATGAAAGTATATATTCACTAAGTAAGTAACCTATTTGTTTTCTAGATTTCTTCTTTGTGGACAGTCAACAGAAAGCTCTTTTATATTATCATCATCTTGTCATCATGAGACGGCCACTGTGGCATCCTCTCCACACTCCATGGCCACCATGGACCTTGATGATTCATCTGTTGAGTCTAAAAGACCACGATCCAGCAGCATGATTGATGATGTCCATCCAACTGTTCGTGCAGCTATTGAGGTGTGTCCATCGTTTACCAGAAATTGTCTACATCTGATGTACAATATGACTAGCCTTTTCATCAATTACTTTGACATTTCGTTCTGAAGAAATAGAAAATGTGCGCGCATGCTGTGTACTCTCATAAGGCACGCCCTCCCAAACAATCAGAACGCGAGATTTATAACAGATATTTTATAATAATGCTTAGACAATGAACCGAGATGATTTTGCTGAAACAATTGCATGTTTGATGCGAGTAGCCTGGGCAGCTGCAGCCGGGAGAATTCACCTAGCAGGAGGTAGACAGCGGCTATCAAGTCAAAGTTCTGATGATGATGGTGGTGGTGGAAGTGACTCAGACTCCCTCAAGTCTTTTAAATCTAGTATTTCATCTGGACCATTGGAAGTTACTAATAAAGTAAGTGCAGATGTCTTTTAGTTTTACCACAGGGAGCCCAATTTAGATAAGAGTTCTAAACGAAAATAGAATCTTGAAAAAATTTTAATTATTGCAAGAATGGGTTAGAGGCTAAGAAAGTGTGCCAAAAAATAATACAAACGAATAAAAAATGAAGTAAAACAAGCAGTATAAGAATGTTTTTTTCTGTGCCTTTTTTCCTAACTCCCCTATGGTCGCTGTGTGTTGAAAACAAGTAACTGTTTTTTCTTATTATTAACTTAGGATGTTGTAATTGTGGCAGAGGCATTACAATTACTTGTGTTGTGTTTACAACTGAGAACTTCATTAATGGGTAAAATAACTTTATCTTTTACTGCCATATCATAGTCAAATTATATGTTTGTAACTAATTAAATTTCGACTCTTTGTTATATATTCCAGGAGTTTTTTACTATCTTCCTAATGTAAATGATTTTATCATTGAAATTGTTATTGGTACCACACATTCACAGGTATGCTAGCTTTCACTTTTGGCATTTGTTTTCTGTGACTGTGATTGATTAACTTTGTTCTCTTTATGTGTATTGTATTGTCATTGCCTTGCAGGTTCGACATACTGGGGTAGAGCAATTCCTTATCCTCAGCCAGACACCAGTTGGAGGTATAATTGTATACATCACTGTCTGATACCATATAACTGTTCCGGTTGTAATAACGTAATTATCAATGATTTTCCTGTCAGATCCTAAGGTACAAACACCAAACCACTTCATACTTAATGTTCTATTGAATGCACCTCTTCCTCTGTGGACGCCAAACCTTTTTGTTAGAGGGAAAAACTACAGGTTGGTTGAACTATTTTTGTTTTGATGTGCGTTTCTCAGTATGGTTAGCTTATACTTTTCTATTTTTGCAGACTTCAAAGAAACTGCACTCAATACTTTGATTTGATTTGTCGTTTGATGGACTATCTAACAGGTATGTTATTATCAGTTATTATACCAATTACTTTATAATATTCATGTCTGACTCGTCCATAACTTTTTCCATCTTGATTATACAGTGACAGAACAAAAGCAAATGAAAATCAACACTACAAAGATGATAGAAAATGAAATTCAGTGGCTACTCAACTTTGAATCTGGTACTAATTTGGGTAAGTTAGGTGTCCTTCATTGTTACGTGGAGAAAGTACTGCATATGCCTATTTCAAGGAGACAACGAAGAGAGCTAAAATGGCGGTTTATGCGAAACATATTTATTTGGTTGTTATCTCCTCTTCAATAACGTTTGGTAGGTGACATTATTTTACAGTCGGTTTCATTACTTTACGCCTTCGGGTTCCAAACGTATGTTCAGATATTCAATTTCGAAGTTCCAACTACGGAACTTCGAAACTAAGTTCGTTATGAACGTTTGAGCTTACCATCGAAATTTGGAACTTGATTTAGTATATAGAATTTGAAGTTCCCGATTAAATATATCCCAAAGAAATTCCGGAAGCTCCTGGTTGAAAATTAAGTTCATTTGCTGCAAAATAAGCCAACCAAATTCGGCGGGAAGTTCAGAAGTTCATAACGAATTTCCAAACAATGTTTGGAACCCAAAGATGTAAAAGTAATGTGAAACCGACAGTGATTCCATCTGAGATATGTATTTTATGTTTGTATGTTTCAGAGAACGAGCCATTCCTTCTAGCAGGTCATCTAAAATTAACAAAAACTTTGTTTACATGTGAAGGCGTTGACAAACGAAAGTGGGGTATGTTAATATGATAGTGGTGTGTGTGTGTGTGGGGGGGGGGGGGGGGGTGGGGGGGGGCGGTGCGTGGGTGGGGGGGGGGGTTCTCGTGTTTTTTTTTTTAGGGGGGGGGGGGGGGGGGGGGGTCGCGATACATACATCGATAGATATTTTAGTATGTCGTTGTAATATTCAATAGTATTATTCCTTGTCTTAAAGGTCAATCTCTTATTCGCAATCTACTGGATGACTTCTTGTTCCCCGCTTCCAAGCTTATTTTTGATACGAGGAAAACTCCAACCAAGGATACTATGATTGATGTATATCCTAAGTATGTCGATTTCTAGTACAAGTGTTAGACTAAGGTCAAACATTGAATTTTACATGAACCGAACTTAATAACATCAAAGAAAAACGTCTTAATCTCCATTGTCTCAATTTTGTTCGGCTCATGTGAAGTTCGACGTTTGACCTGATCCTTAGTCGTTCAAATATAATATATTTATCTGATATTTCTCTTTTAATCTTAAGGTGTGTAAGTCCAGAGTGTCGAGTAGCAGCCTATGAACTTCTTGTCGAAATGGCTGAAGGCTGCTGCGAAAACCTGTTTGACGTGGTGTCTCAGCTGATAAGTATGCATCATACAGGCGATCCAGCGACCTTCAAAGAGTGGGAAGTAAGTAAAGTTCCTTGTACTCGTGATAATTTTGAATCCTTATGAATGTTATTATTTTGATCAAGTTTCAGCCACCAGTATCACCAAGGGCTTCTTGTGGATTTCTTGGTCTAAAGAATGCTGGAGCCACATGTTACATGAACTCTGTCATACAGCAGTTATATATGCACCCAGGAATAAGAGAGGTAATCATGTCCGTGTTTGCCAGGTGACAAATTTGTTACTAACTGTCGGTCACTTTGCCCATCATTTACAGGCTGTGCTAAGTGTTGATGACGATCCAATTGAAAAAGACAGGTAATTTATAGTGACTCTAAGTAAGTAGTACTGACCTAGAGATGGAAGCACTTCATCACACCATAAATTTAGTAGAAAGAAGAATTGTTATCAAGTCAAGCTCATGCAATACTTGATATGTATATCATCTGCAGCATTTTGTATCAAATCCAATCAGTCTTTGGTCATTTGATGGATAGTCAACTGCAGTACTTTGCTCCTGAATTGTTTTGGAAGAGTTTCAAGCTGTGGGGTCAGCCAGTTAACGTAAGGGAACAGCAGGTCAGTACTCAGTTTAGTATTAATGTCCCAATCTGTTAGACTATCAAATGCTGATAAAACTTGCATTCATGTGTTTCATTTAAGGATGCTTTTGAGTTTTTCTGTAACCTGACTGATCAACTAGATGAGCAACTAAAGGTATTAAATATATACAGACAGAATAAACTCAGGGAAATTGAAATGAGCAATTAAACTGATAAATAAAACACTTCCATTTTCAGCGGAAAGGACATGAGCAAGTTTTTAAGAAGACTTTCTGTGGAATGTTCGCTGACCAGAAGATTTGCAAGGAATGTAACCACAGGTAGCCCGGCGGGTTGTAGTATAGTGCAAATTATTAAGCCTGGTTTCCATACGATCGCTGCGATCACCAAAATTGACTTGTTTTATGCAGCAATCATATGGAAACATATCTTCAGATATCGTAGGAATAAGATGAACAATAAGCTTTATTTAAAAGAGGGTTGGTTAGACAGTGGCCTTCAGTGGCGATGGGAATGTGAAGAATGTTTTTTTTTGGTAAACAGGCCAACAAGCACGAAATTGCTTCTATTATCCAGGAGACATTATTTTGTACCTGTAATTACTCGAACCAAGATTAGAGTATGTCAGGAAAGCAGACAGCTTACATTTTTCTTTTGCTTATCTCTCTTTGGAAGATATCTCGTTTAACTTTGATGTCTACGTTAAAGCCAGGAGTCACAGTGATTTTGGTCTAGAGCACGAATATCTGCTTCTGCTGTCATTTTGATCTGTGCTTGATGCCAATTGTCAAGTCCATTGTGTTGGCCAAACGATTTAATGAATTGCAGTTATCCCAAAGATCAAATAGAAACATCACGATCGCTGCGAACGTTGAATCAAGTTTTTGGGCAATCTCAATGATAAAATGGAAATCAGGCTTTATTCACCTAGTATTCAAAAAGGCTGTTCTTTACATGGGACTCTTGTCCTGTTGACCATGCCCTCAATTAGATATAAACATCTGGTTGTAAAGTCATTAAATAAATAAATAAATGATATGGTTTTATTTTGTTAGATACGAACGCGAGGAAGCATTCTATTCACTGCCTGTGACAGTCAAGAATCTTCGTCTAGAAGACTCATTAGAACAGTTCGTGAATGGAGAAATACTAGAGGGTGACAATGCGTACTTCTGTGAGAAGTGTAACGAAAGAGTATGTATGAGTTCAGAGATCCGCCTATTCTCACTAATAAGATTATGTATGAGTGCATGCTTATGGAATTTTCGTACCTATATGCAGAGAACGACCGTGAAGCGTATGTGCATCAAGTCCTTACCTCCCTTACTGGTGATACAGCTCAAAAGGTTTGGTTACGACTGGGAAGCAGGCCGTGCTCTCAAATTTGATGATCATTTTGAGGTAGGTGATTTCGCAGCTTGAACACCAGAGATTAGGAGTTGAAGCCACCCCTCCTTCTCTCCTTCCCTCCTTCCCTCCTTCCCTCCTTCCCTCCTTCCCTCCTTCCCTCTGCATATCTGTCGATTTGAATGAGTACATATTTTGAGGACACTGATACATCCTCGGTAACCCAGGTGTAAAAATATGTCGCTCGTTTCTCGCTACAATATAGAAACGAGTGACATATTTTACACGAGCGACAGATTGTTACCTTGGGTTACCGAGAATGAATATGATACCGTAGGAATTTAAAGCTCCAAATGCAAACAAAATTATAAAACAGAAAACGGTGTGTAAAACACAGTAATTATTGTATCTTGTTTTCTACTCATGGCAATGAATATTTAAGATACAAAATATTTTTCAGTTTCCTTGGTTATTGAACATGGAACCATATACTGTTGAAGGTGTAGCTCGCCGCGAACAATCCAACTTCCAGAACGACACATTTAGTGAAAATGGCAGCGTGACTGACTTGTCCAAGTCTGTTTCTAGCCAATCACTAAATTCTGTGCAGTCCTGCAATAGTGTTACGACTGTTCCCTCTGACATAACATACGAATTGGTTGGAATCATTGTGCACAGTGGACAAGCTAATGCTGGACATTACTACTCGTTTATTAAAGACAGAAGGTTCGTTATTATACCTTATCTTATCCTTAGATTTAACCTAACTTAAATTATAGTTGTAATGACGAATTCACTGCTCTTTTTCAGGACTGTTTATGACACCTCCAATGGCAAAGGCAAATGGTATAAATACAATGATATAACTGTTGAAGAATTTGACATGAACGACGAGACTCTGGAGGCAGAATGTTTTGGAGGAACATATAAAGCTACTGTTTATGATACTGGTATTCATGCCTCTTTTTCCGTCGCTGAATTTAAACAATTATGAAAACAGTAACAGCATTGTTTTTTGTCCATAGTGAATTCGTACCCCGAAACACGTCATAGATATTGGAGTGGTTACATGTTGTTCTACGAGGCGATCGATACTAATAAACTCCAGAACAACTTATTGAATTGTGGTCGAGGACCGCTGATTCGACAAGAGGTTATAATCGAAGGAAGGTAAGTCAAAAATTACTGAATAAATACATTTAAATGTAGCGGCTAGGATCAGTGCTGATTCAGTTGAAATGTGTGGTTTAGGTCTGGCCCTCCATCTCCATCGTCATCATCTATCTCTTCAAGTTCTGGTCCGCCATCACCCACACGTAGTGATGGGTTAAGTCAACTGACGGCTCTTTTACAGAAGGGTGAACGTAAAGGAATCTTTAAAGACAAAATGCCTGCCAGTATACAGAGAATGGTTAGTATGTTATCCATGTCGTTCGTTCGTTTGTACATTCGTTTGACAAAGAAGGATGTTATTTTAAACACAGGTCCATGCTGAGAATCTCCAATTTATGCAGAATCGGGATGTGTACAATCACGACTATTTTAAATTCATACTTAACCTGGCTTCTTGTAATGTAAGTCTACCATTTTAACATATGTCTAGGGTGAAGGTTGAATCAGTTCTTCTTTCTTTGTCTTTAATTTTCAAAATGTTTTTTTAGAGGACCAACAAGCAGTTGTTATTCGCCGTATGCAGTTTACAGTTATCTATTCAGTTTCTGTTCAACACGTACTTCAGAACGACCAGAAAGTTACGGTTAGTAGGAGTGGCATGCCGGATAGAGAGTAGAATGGTAAGTGACTTGATYGTATTCTGTTGGCCAACAGCAACGAAACCGAGGAATGGTGTAGTGTCATTGAACATTTGTTGAGGGGTAATAATGAAGCATGTACGTGGTTCGTCCAATTTTTGTCTGGTGAAAGAGGCAAAGGCTACATCAAGTAAGTCAATACTAGCACCTAGCTATAACGTATATAGTTTCACTTTACTGTGTAATGAATGATTGTCGCTTTTTTGTCTGTTTGTACAGACCATTCCTCCTTGAAGCCCCATCACAGGAAGTTCGATCTTCTTTTTCGCGAATTCTTGGCTTGGCTTTCGAGAACTACATACATCACAATGGTGTTGTTGTAAGTAATAGTATACCTGGCATTTATTTTTTAATTGTCTTTTTCAATAGCTCCAATTCTCACTGTCACTTTGTATTTTAGGGATCGGGACCATTTTATGCATTGATAGAAGCCCTTCTTGCAATGTGTAACCGAGAGGTTATCGATCACCATAAGACTTGTGCTGACTACTTTTGGCTACTTAACAGATATGCGATTATGGTACGCCTCAACTTTACCTCAGCACCTTTGTTGCTGGATCAGTGTTAGATTATAAATTTTTTTGTTTTTATTTTGTAAAACAGAACATTAAGACGTGTGAACACTTGATAGCAAGAGGAGCATTCAAACTTTTTCTCAGTTTTCTTGTTGGGTCGTCATCTGAATACGTAAGTAGTAAAGAAATAAGTAAAACAACTTTATTTAGAGGGGGTGACACGTGACATTTTCAAGGTGGCCTCAGCCAAATTGCACGGTTGGAGTCCCATTCGTCACGATGAGTCATATCTTCACTGTTACAGGCATCCATTTTTGTGCCTGTCTCCGCCAGGCCATCTTGTTCGAGATCCTGAGGAGGCTACCGTACAACTCGCAGTTCGTAATACGATCTTGCCAGCTCACTTTATGTGCGGCACGGAGCATACGGGTGTTTCGAACCATCCAGAGACTTTTCTGAGGATGCTTTAAGCTCGCATGCAGCACTCACTACAATACAGTAGCACTCACTAGAATACAGTAACACTCACTGCCATCAGTCGCACTCACAATAGAAGAAGAAAGCAATAGGTTACCCTCGTTACCCTTCTTAAGGTCCCTACACTGAACCAATCGGGACGCGGTTATTACTATTATTAATAATAGTTATTTTTATTAGTAGTAGTATTACTGAATACGGGTTAGTGCTCGTCGTGTAGTCTAAGTGTACTGTGTTTTGTATTACTTGAATCTTTACAGAGTAGCAACCGCCGCTGGAGCTCGATTCAGTCTCAAGAATTCACTGGTCTTTATGCTGCAATAGCAACATTAGTATGTAGCTGTGACGTATCTGCAAGAGTTACCCTGGAAACGGATAATGCTAGACCTATTTTCCTGGATGCTTTTAGGCATGAGAGGCTTATTGCTATGCCGCAGGAAATAGATGATGCTCTATTTGGTGCTAATGCTGATCGCTACATAAGAGAGGTAATGTGCCGGCAGACTTACTGACCAGTGTCAGTAATGTATATGAATGATATACCAGTTACTAATAATTGAATCGTTGTGTATCATACAGGCAACATCTGCTATTTGTGAAGTTGCTGATACTTGTCCGCACATCACCAACATGTTTATACACTGTAGTTGGTGTAATGAACAATTTTCTTGTGAAGTCCTAAAACATCTCAAGGTAAGAAAAGCGTCTTGACGCTGCGCACTTTACAATATCAGGTTTATTTTTATTTTTCATTTTCATTCATAATATAAAGCTGAATAAACACGAATAAACTATCCTGTACTATGCCAGGCTTTACTGGTTGGGTCGTTCATAACCAACCAGGGTTCTTGGTTAGTTTTCATAGTAGCTGTGTTATACGAAATGTGCTTTCGGTTTAGGGCCAACTTGGTAATGTTCCTGCAAATGACATGAAGAATGTGTTTACTACACTTGTTGGTCTCCTCGTAAGTACTTATGTGTACTACTTATCATGTGTGGTCCAAGTACGTGTATATAGTAACTATTATCTACTGACTGTGATATGACAGGTGATAGAGGATCCGCTTCAACTAGTGCGCATCAAAAGTGCCATAGATGATAACGATGGAGTACTCGGTAATGATTTTGTACTTGTTCTGTTGATATATATAATATATATAATATAATATAATATTATATTATTGTTTGTTACATATTTCCATGTTCTATTCCTCAGCCATTGTCAAGTCCAGCAATCTTGGTGACAGTCGGCGGGCATACCAGTGCATTAAGTTTCTGGTACAGCTTGCTCACCGCTGTCCAACAGCGAAAGACTACTTACTACAGAATTCAACTCGCTGGCAATGGGCTGTTCATTGGTTGAAAACCAAAATGAATGAACATTATTGGACACCACAGTCAACAACATCAAATGAATACTCAACGAGTAGAACATTCCAGCGCACCTCAAGCGCAGCTGATACCCTGGCAGAAGCCACCGCGCTTCTTACTGAGCTAGAAGCTAAAGATATCGATCCAAGTCAGGCTACAAATTTGCTCGATGATTCGGTCGTTTTAAATGGTTCTGAAGACTGGGATAAAGAGCCAACAAATTCTTAAGCTCTTTTTGCGTCAGGGGTTGATGCATGCGATTCAGTCTGTAATGATAAATGATATGATATATTGATATATCAAGATTTATATGTAAAGAATGCAAAAGGGGAAATGTATTTCAGGCAATATTTTATAAATTATGTGGTTTCGATACTCCCCTTAACAAAGATTGTATACACATTTGACCTGTTACTGATGAACTGTCACTAAACAGTCTGCAGATATTTGGATTAGAAAAGGTATTCTATGCTGTTGCTGCACGTCAGTCACTATTAAAGGTTTTTATATAAATGCTTTTTTAGCTTTTTCCCTTAAATATTCATAAAGAAATACGAACATTAACTTGGTTATTATTTGGTGTATAATATTTGAATCATTGTTAGATGGAAGTAAAGAGAATCAGTTGTAAATAGGCATGACGCTCCCTTGTTTAGCAAGTGTATATAACATAATATTATCTTTACCTCAACTTTCACTTACGTCTATTAACTTTACCACTGGATTGGCTAAGAAAAACAAATCCGCACGGAAGGACAGTTTTTTTTAATTGAATCATCTTTCTTGCCACAAACACAATAATTTTCTCTACCATCCGGCATCCTAACCTTTTCTTTATTTTTTCTTACCAAAAAGTTTAGTGTGTTAATAACTCTGATAGATATCATGTCATCTCACTCAGTCGTTCAAACTTCTTCATTATTGTATCCGAAATTCAAGTACAGACGATCAGTCTATGCATGCCTTTTGTTGTAGAAAATGTACTCTCTCTAAAAAAATTTAAACAAAAAAGACAAAGGCTCAAAGAGTCGACAAACAGACTGGCGGGCGGCGGGGCGGGAATTCGTGTATAATACTTCTTCAGGATAAGAGAAAAGACACGACAATAAAGATTAAGACCCAGTCTAAAATCCTAGACGCATTTACTTAAAGTTTTACGTTGCTTTACTGAGGCGCCTCTAACACTCGTCAAGAAAAGTAAAAACAAAAAAGTGAATCTTTCGTTCTATGATCAATTCACTTAAAACTGCTTGTTGACCTTTAGTAGTATTACTTGGGTATCTTGAAAATGTTTCGATTATCAACATGGTTTGCTTTGCGGCCGACATCGCCTTACCTTAGCGAGACAAATGGCGTCATTTGACGAATTCCCAAGGGTTTGACGTAACGCTAATATTTTAATTTTAGAAGTAACTTTTGTTTGTTTCTTTTGACACAACTAATAAGTCACTTACTTCAATTGATGCCGGCAGCATTATTGCCTAATTAACTTTGTTTTTCCAAACAGTTATTCGCTCACATTCAAGTTTCCCAAAGAGAGCCTCTGTCGAACGTGACATTAACCCTACTGATCTGGGGTATATTTTTCTCCCAACCTTTTCCAAGACTAATTTCAGAAACTAGGATATACAGGCGAAACGTACCTACAAGAAGATCATGCGACAAACAATGATCTTGTTAAAGTCTCTCCTTCCGTCTTCAGTATTTCTTGCTGTGATGTGCTTGTTACTCCTACAACTGAATTACATCAGAGCCGGTGAGTGGCACATGACTTGTTTTCGTATCAGTCCTGCCCTCCAGTTGTTTGTTCTGATTGCTATAGATTTTTGCCGAACTAAATCATCGGATCGAATTTGAAAGTGCTGTGCAAATTAGCTCATGATCTACACTTAAAGTAACACGTTAGTATTAGTCTTGGTGTGGCAATACTAATTTGTATATTTACAAGTGCTTATTGTATCGTTAATAGTATTACTGATATGATATGTCTTGTTTGTTTAATGTATTTGAACAATAGACGTCAAACTTGGGTCTCCAGATAGTTTCTTTTTATGTAGTTTACCTTCTGATATAGTTTTTGTTGAAATATTTTATTCGGTGCATAATGTGTGCGCAGTCGTTTCTAACCATTTGCTGCATGGAGATGCATGGATAAGTTACGTGACTGATGTTATAGCAAACCTTATTCCGAGAGGTTTGATCAGAAGTGCTAAAGACACGAAAGTAACAACAGACTCGGGAGTACCCTTTTTCAATTACCATCTACAAAGTGTTGTATTTATGAATGCTATTGACCACTGTAACTTTTTAGGCCCGATCTTTAATGGAAGTGGAAGAAAAATGTCAGGAGACGAAATTTTAAAAAATATAACAATTTGTGACTATGAAAAGGAGGGGTGCGAGCCCATCCGAACTGAAACTTCACAGACTGCGTCGGCGAGCCCTGTACACGAAGACAGCCCAAATAGCATGTCGACAATGTCTTTAAAGACCTTGCAAGATTCAAAGGATTCAACAAATATTATGTATTTAATTGGGCAACCTCTGTTTCATGGTGATTCCTTTATGGTTTTACCCAAACTTCCCTTCACGGCACGAAGATCGTTTGAACTTACCATCACTTTCAAGGCAAACTCTGAAGATGGTTTGTTGTTGTTTAGTGGAGGACCAACAAGTAACCAAAAGGATTTTTTTGCTCTTGTACTCAGAAAAAGAAAAGTCGAATTGAGGTGAGTTTTTTTTATCATAACATGATAGCAGAATTCTTCGATTGCAAGATACGTCATCGCGGCATCTCGGGGGAGCGTTGGTGCCATTTAAACAAGATATTTCTTATTAGCATCCATTGTTAACGGCACCACAATGGCCGCCATGCTTTGTTTTTTTAACTCTCTTGTGAATGCTCGCAACACACGTTGAACTGATAGCGTTCCAGCAGTGGAAGAAATCCAACACACTTCGTAATTCTGTCATGGAAGAGCACCCATTCTTGGCTTTATTGTTTTATAGTATCGGTGAGTTATTTATTTTTTCGTATTCAAAAGGTTCAGCAATGGTGGTGATATAGCAGTATTACAGACAGCTCAAAATATTACCCTCGGCATCTGGCACAAAGTGGTGGTGTTTCGTGACCGGCGTGATGGATATCTCATGCTTGATCATGGTCTGCTAATCAGAGGATCCACCACTCGTAACCAAGAGCAAATGGATTTACTCGCACCACTGTACCTTGGGGGTATACCCGACAACCGGTTAACAAAAGAAAATATATCCTACAGCGCTGGTTTTAAGGGCTGTGTTAAGAGTCTTGTCGTTGATGGGAAAAGAATGGATTTGAGATTTCCTGGTGGAGAAGTAGTTAGAGCACACAACATAGGTAGGTATTCAGCGAAATCTGTTCAATGCCGAATTTCAATCCTAACCCTAAAAGCTATTAAAGCTTTTACTATCTTTACTTGTTACAGATGAATGCACCAATTCTCTGCAAGAATGTCAATGTCAAGTCAAGGATTCTTGCCACTTCTCCGATACAGGGGAACCTGTATGCGCATGTCCGTTAGGCACCGCTGGCAAGCATTGTGAGCGTGGTAATTTTGTTTTATTCTTTATGCGATTAATTCTTTGATGAATGGAATAACAGGTGAAGAGAATAAGACAAAGTAAAAAATCACAAATAATTGTTTGCAAAAGTTCAAACTGAACAACAAACAATTGAAATCATTTTACTGAAGGGATTATATGTTTGCTACACTGGGGCTCCTTTCTCTCCATAATTGATTTTGAAATAATTGATATATCTTGTGCCGTTTCCGCAGAGATGTCGTTGCAAATTCCTTCATTCACTGGAAATTCTTACTTGACTTACCCATCCCTTGGAGATATTTCATCAAAGTCATTCACAATAAGACTTGTCTTGAAGCCAATGTCAGACACTGGGCTTATCATGTTGAACGCCGATCGCACCAGTGGGCAAGGAGACTTCTTTTCGCTGGCTTTAAGAGAAGGAAATATAGAATTCATGTTTGACTGTGGATCAGGACCTGCTGTGATAAGGTAAAATGATAAGGATCCGTTGGACATAACAGACTGCATACATACATTGTTGCATTCATCTCAACAGTTACTTAAGTATAGTACAATATAACTATTTCATAGGAGCAAAAACACGATCATGGTGGATCACTGGCACACTATCACTCTCTGGAGAAATGGAGCCCAAGGAAGTTTGACTTTGGATGACGAGGAGCCCGTGTTCGGTAAATCCCAAGGTCGCCTACGTCACATACGTTTACGTCAGAATCTGTTTGTTGGCGGAATGAAAGGATACCAACAGCAGCCATACGAGGTTGGCATGAATTGGGGGTTTTCAGGTTGCATTCAGAAGGTACGGAAAGTCGAAACGGACTGACCATCCTATAATTGGCATCGCACTGACTATGCGCGCTCCATAATCATTGAATCTTGTTTTTTATTAAAGGTTACAATCAATGACGGAGAAATGGATCTCACTTCCCCTCTTTCTGGGATCAATGTTGATAACTCTGATCATGTGTGCGTCACGCAACCTATATGCCTTAATGGTGGTACCTGTCACGCTGACATGGATAACTTTAAATGTGAATGTTATGTTGGGTATACGGGAATGTTCTGCGAGAAAGGTTGGTTTTATTCATTAATATTCTCATTTGATTGCATTCATATTAAATAATATCTATGAATGTATGTTTTAGAGCTAACGGTAAAGATGCCATCGTTTGCTGGTAGTTCCTACCTCGCCTATCCCTCTCTTGGTAAAGAATCAGAGAAGGGATTTTCCATTAGCCTGGTTTTGAAAGCAAAGACAGCAACAGGATTGATTTTATTTAGCGGACAACACGACGAAAAGTCGGTGGACTTTGTTTCTTTGGCATTGAGGGACGGGAGGGTGGAGTATATGTTTGACTGTGGTTCTGGTCCAGTCTTAATACGGTGAGTTATGAGTGAATTATCTTCTTAAACGTTATAGGATTAAGAGGGATTTCTGTTTGGCATTGGTTTCCATGTTAACGAATCATTCACTTCTGTCTGCATGTTTCCCTGCTAGCAGAGTCTCTCTCTTTCTCTCCCTTCTTTTAGGCGGGGAGGAGAGAGACTCTGCCGATGTAGAGCGTTTCATTTGATACGCCGCTGTCCGCAATCGTGGAAGAACAAAACCAGTTTTAAAACCGGTTTTTAACCGGGTACATGTAGTGCGCATGAGCTAATGTAACACATCGTGGCGCCAAACGTTGTTTGACGAGAGCAGCTGTGAAAATCATGACAGCGTTGCTAAGTTATGCCACGCAGGCGCGTACATCGGCAGAGTCTATTTTTCTCACTCCACCAAAACAAAAGGAAAATAGGCTCTGCTAGCAGGGAATCTGCATGTCTTTAGTAATGTAAAAGTAATGTACTTTATGTTATGATACTTTCAGAAGCCACCTATCTGTAACTGTTGACCAGTGGCACACCATTACCTTTTCAAGAAGTGGAAACAAGGGAAAGTTGGTTTTGGATGATGGGGTTGCTGTACTTGGGAAATCCCCAGGCTCTTTTAGCCGTATCACTTTCCACAATCATTTATTCATTGGAGGCATGAAGGACTACTCAAAACAGCCACTATCCATTGGAATGAAAACAGGATTTGTTGGATGCATACAAAAGGTGTGTTACATGATTTAAATTATTTCGCTTGATCTGACCGTGACAAGAACTGTAATAATATTCCTTTTTTGCCATCTTTTTTTATAGATCACGGTGAATTCAAAGTCTCTTGTCTTGTCTTCACCTCATTCTGGTGTCAACGTAGTCAACTGTGATCATGTGTGTGTCACGCACTACATGTGCATGAATGAAGGGTTATGTCATGCGAGTATGGAAAGTTTTAAGTGTCAGTGTCCTTTTGGTTATACGGGCAAGATGTGTGAAGAAGGTGCTCATCAGTTAATTCTTTCCATTTATTCACTCCATTGTATTTTCAATAAAGTTAAATTTCAATTAAAACGTGTTTGATTTCAGCTGTCTCAATTGATGGTTATGAATTTGATGGACAATCATTTTTCACGATTAACAGAAAGAAGGTAACTAAGAGGTTAGTGTGAAATCGAGTCCAGTTTCTTAAATACTCGAACAGTGCAATACTCTTGTTTCCTTTCATTTTTAAGGATTTCTGGATTCAACACAAACATCCGAATCGATATAAAAACGTTATTAAGAAGAGGAGTAATATTCTTTGTCCATCAGGTAATGACTAGTCATAGTACGTGAGCACAACTGCTTTATATCCCTTGACTTAATACTGTCATGACGCGCAATAGTAAAATTACGTGTGCGCAACTGCTTTATATCCCTT